AGCAAATACAAACTGAGGTAAAAGAAAAAGATGTTTTCTTTCTCCACAGCCTGCTCACATAGTTCACTTGCAGAGCAATGGCTTCGGAGCAATTTTTCCCCCCAATGTTCTTTTTTTGATGTAGTCTAAGAATATGTGCCATTTTCTATAATTGTTCTTAACAAACCCATCCATCATTTCTTTGGCAGCAAACTCATCATCAGGCAGCACACACACACTAGCCGTCTTTGTCAGCAGAGGGAGGCAGCCTGCGTCAAACCGCAGCAAAAAAAAAAAAAAAAAAAGAAAGAAAAAAGAAAACCCAAACCAATCATGACATCGAAGCCATTACAAGGCAGGGAATGAGAACAAGATAAAAACTGTCAGAAAAGTGTCATCCACTGCAAGAATGAAGATGAAGCTCCAGAACACCCTTGAACTGGACAAACACACACACTCCCTCACAGCAGAGTGTTACTGATTACACAGGGAGAACGATGTTTGCTTCGCACTGAACTGTGCTTCTGTCTTAAACTGCCTGTTGTGAAGGCGAAGGCTGCAGAGACGGAAGTGTCATTCTGTCCAATGACTACACAACTCCCACCCTTTCATCCGTGAAATCTGCTGCACGGTGCACAAGTTATAAGACTCTCTGTCCAGAATGACGTCTTAGTGACGGGCTGTCAACCCAGTCCTTCTGACTCTTGGTTTTTAAGTCCCATTCCTCCTCATTATTCTCTATTTTTCCTGCTTTCTTTATAGACCTTCTTTTCCTACTTCCTCTAAGGGAAGCGTAATTCAATTCAAAAAGAGCATCATCAACTGCAGCCCAGACAGGCCTAACTACAGGGGATGCTGCCAGTATGGTCCGCGTGGCCAGGAATGAAACCACAGGACGCCCACATTGTCCAAAATAGATCATCTGTTCAAATTTAGCAAACATTTGTAAGCGTTCAGCATCTTGAAATGTTTGGAGAGGATGGTGTCGACACCAAGGGGGCTATTATCTCCGCTCCACCCTTATGTCAGCACCTACACAGGTCTTTAAACATTTTCTCAGGGCCTGAGAACCTCAGCTTCGCTCACCGCTGTTGGGGTTTATTTTCCCTCCATCTGTGTCCACTTTTTAAAAGCCCACGGCACTCTCTCTCTCTCGCTCTCTCATCACCACTTCAACTCTCCAGCAATGCAGCTGGTTCAGCTTCAGCCACGACAGGTTCATGTTTACTTCCCACATCAAACCACACCAACAGCCCCCAGTCACCACAGGCCACGGGTCTAAAAGTGCAAATACGCACAGTCCTAATTCTAACAGGCCACTCTAGGAGCTTTCTAATCCTCACGCCAACGACAATCACTTGTCAACTTTAGCAAGTACTGAGATTTGTTTTTTTCTTCTATAAAATTGTAAATCCAATTTGTAGCAATGCAATTACAAAGTCAGCAGGGCTGCAATTTTCTTGTTTTGACTCTTCACCATTTCATTGTAAAAGCACACTGCATATGTTAGCAGTAACATTGGGTCCTATTAAAAAATGACCTAAAATGAGTGACAACAACAAAAAAAAAAAAAAAAAAAAAAAATACTGAGCAAGGATGTACTGGTCCATGTACTGGTCCCTTGCCTGCACTCTAGACAACCAGAAGAGAGTGTATTTCCATGATGTGCATATTTGTTGTGATTCAAAATAGTACAGATATTCAGAAAGACTTAAGACAAGTTTCTTTGGTATACTGTGATTTCAGATTAATGATGTGACATGATGTACAGCAGGGTCAATGCGAAAAAAAACATCAACCAATCATCACTTTTTGCTTAGGTTTTTTTTATGGATGCAATTAATAACCAACTAACTAATGAGAGCACAATACACATTTAAACTAAACACAATTACTCACAGTTCCATGGTTTTCCACAAAGTATCACCACATTTCACAATCTCTCAGGGTTTTGGATAGAAAAACAACATCGTATTTATCACTAATACTACTAATAATCCATAATCTTTCATAGTACATGATTTAACAAACAACTTATAATTAATAAACCAGACAGTTGGTCCATAAGTTGCAGTCATTTGGACAAATCGCTTGTGTTTATAAACGTAAAGACGCTGCATTATTAGGTTCTTGTAGTGTTTATAATCCTAATATTTTAAGTTGTGTCTTGGACAAGGAAATACGAGTCAAATTCAAATTATAGTCGATTAATACATGAAGAGACGGACACTGGATGCTGACTGAAACGCAGCAGCTTCGCGGGATTACAAATGCGAGTAAAGCTTTATCCGATGCTTAAATCATCAGCTTAACGTTATTAAACGTCAGTATAACGGCTGAATATGTCAGAAAACAGAAAAATAATCCCGTCCAACATGTTCTACATAGACATGTTGCACCTGCGGTAGACTCTTGCTCACCTGCGAGAGCGGAGGAAACTAGCAGGAAGCGAGGAAACAGCGGCGTAAGTGACGGAAGGAACGGGCACCGCGAACACTACTCACCTCGCTTTAAAGTCGCTGTCTTGGAGCCGTTAAAAGTCTCTAGTGCTCCATTAGCTCGCCTCCACCGGGCCGGCGGTTGTAAAGTTTCGGAGAGGGGAGGTTAACAGGTGGCAGGAGCCGCTCGGGAGCAGGAGTTTGCCGGCTGCTCGCAGTTCAAACTCCAGGAGGACTCTTGTTGTTCCAGAGCAACAGCAGCAGAAGAAACTCCTGCTCTCTGTACAGCAGGCTGTCACTGTGACGTCTGCGTGATTAGTCACGTGGTGTGCAGAGAGCCAATAGGAGGCCGTTGTTGTTAATCGTACACTGTCGTATGTAATCTATGATTCACGTTTAAATGTTTTGGAACAAAAATTATATTTACTCTTTTCACTCTCATTTAACAGAAGGATTGATTGATATAAAGAGATAGAACAGACGACAATGAATACACGTATAAAATTGTTATTATTTTCCGTTTCCGTATGCTGTAATGTGTGCCCGGATTCAACTGGTTACCTTATGATAAACTCATTGAAATTATTATCCATGTATGGCCCATGTGGACTTGCTGGGGACTAATTAAATATTTTAATTAAATCATTATTCAAGAGAAAAAAATCCTTTGCTGTTTTGAGTTTATTTGCATGACGTCTGGTTGATACATTCTGCAGGTGCTACACTGTAATGAGCTGACACTTAGCTCTCAGTGTTGCACAACAATGAACAGGCAGATCATGAGTACCTGCACCTTGTCTCTGCTGCAGTACTGTAGAGTACAGGTGTCCCTGCACATTGAGAGACATGCTTTGGCTAAGATGATTAGTGGAAGTCATAGCCAGATGGTTAATTCAGCCAAAGTTCTTGGGAGCTTTTTCTTAATGGCCTTAAAAAGCACACCAAGAAGTCTTTCCTCTTGTTGACTCAGCAAATTCCTATCCAGACTACTGAAACTTTATTAATGGTAATGACCCATGGCAGCAAGATAATCACTCAAGATCTATCAAATACAATTTTGTGTGCATTTCTATTTATTAAAATGAAGATATAAATAAATGATGGAACTTTAAATCACAAAAAAAAACAATGTTGAAAATGTCTGCACTGCAGTAGAAATGCATATTAGAGAATGAGCTCTAGTGCCCAATAAAAGACAACGTGTAAATGCTGCACCTAAGGTTTTTATGTTTGCACCAATTTTTGTTCAGCATCACGTCCGCTTCAAAAAAACATTAAATATTGAAAGGAGCATCAATTTTCCGTTGCGTAAACATCATAAAGGACGACAGGAAGACATAGAGGAGATAAGGGAGGCTGTGAAAAAGGAAGCAAGAAAGAGGGTAAGTTAAGATGTTGATCTTTGATGAAGTAACACATTCAGAAGGCTTTGGTTTTAACATTTTTGTCTGCCTGGTGTAAGGTTGGTGGTGTTGGTGCAGAGTCAGGATCAATATCTCAGTGTAACAGCATCATTCTAAAGCTGTGTTTTCTGTCGCCCTTTAACCAGCAGACAAACAGTGAGACCTCATCAGTGAATGTGACCCTGGGGGGCGCAGGGGGGGGGGTCACTCTGCAGCTACTCACTAATAGGTTTGCATAACATTGATCTGAGCAGCCGTCCACTGAAGAGCAAGTCACTAACTCACACAAACGCACAGTGAGACCTCTCCGTCTGCCACAGCTCTGATGCCAAGAGGCTTTGAACTGTACAGGGACTGTCTAAATCAGCCGGCCCATGGCTCTGCACGGGCTCCCTCATTAGGTAACTCAGCAGTGCTAGTTAAGTAGCTGCTACTGGACGGAGACGCCACAGATTCTCACAGCAGAGGACCATCAGTCTACCCCCACTGATTATCCATTACCTAACCAGACTGAAGTAACCTTGTGCTGCTCTGGTTCAAGGGTTTGTGATCTTACTGAGAGAAAGGCCCATCAGCGTTAACAAGGAGCGATGCACTGTTCAGCTAATTTTAATTGATGCACTGTCAAGCCCTTTGGTCACTTTTGGGATTTTGTAAGTGGCTACATGAATGAATGGTGATCAATTGATTGATTGAACAACTGCCCAATAGGATTGTTTGTTTTTCCAGGCCTTGGGACAAAGTGTCCTCTTAACAATTGAAGCTATAATTTAAAATGTTGACTATGAATGCCCTATAAGGTGAATGTCCATGAGGTCTAAAGTCTGTTGCTTAAAAATTAAATTTACAACTAAATTACTTAAAGTTAAATAGTAAATATAAGGATATAACTAACCAAACCCCATAATGCCTAAATCATATATACAAAATATATTTAAAGGTTAGCTCAGGAGAAGCTACAGTTAGCACAAATATAGAAAAACACAAGTCACTCGTCGACACAATGTCAACAAAGTAGCTAAATATAAAGCTTGGTAAATGTTAGTGCAGTTAGAGCAGCCTGGCTACATTATTTCACATTTGAAAACCTTACGTTTTCATTGCATTACTAATATTATTCCTTGAACTGTAGATCAGACCATTTTATTTACTGTTTACAAATTCCATCTATATTCAGTTTTGTCATTGAAAACAACATTTTGCTAATGTCAAACTTGTAGGTCAATGTCATCACTTCTAAGGCTGGGACATTGTGTACAGTTAGACAGAAGCAGAGGTCAGCGGACGCTGCAGAAAGCTGCAGGTGATCCTGCTGCAGTCAGAGTCCAGCTCCTGTCAACCTGGGACTTAACGGCACAGAGCCGTGCGTCATGAGTGGCCGTCTAATGCTCAGGCTGACAGGATTAACCAGCAGGTGAATTTATTCTCAACCAGAACATGCTGACAGTTGCGTGTTGAGCCTGATCAGAACCAGCAGAGACACACAGGTGTCAACTGTTTTTGAATAGGTGGTGGCTTCTGTTGTGTTGTTCCTCACTGTACCTGCTGTAGGGGGAAATCCTCTGTTCGAGGCACCCAGAACGTGTCATGTAATCATTGTTGTTATCAGTTTTTGTCTCCTGACAAAAACCTTCAGCTGAGCTACCATAAAATACACTTTAAAACAGATGTTTAAACAAACTGCCCCATCACTTACTCATTACTCATAAAGACACTAAGCATGTCACATATATTAGAGTGAATTATGTATAAAGGATGCATTATTACCTCATGAAGATGTGTTTTATTGGACGTATTTATCCTTAAATTCATACCTTTTTACATTTGTCTCTGTACTTGATCTATACCTATACATAAAAAACAGCTCCATTTCATCTTCAATAAGCTCTGTGGTGTCTATAAGCTGAGTCAGGGTGAGGCTGTGGACTCACGTCAGCAGTCTATTACAGTCAAGGCTGCACTCTGACTCATGGACTCTCACCTGTCTGCAAACATGAGACTGTTGACATGCAACACAGCAGACCGTTACACACCGACGCATCAGCTGAAGGCATTGTATGAAAACCTAGCTCCATAAACCTTTGACCTTCACATTTGTTTGGGTACTTTTTCTTCCATGTATCGATCACAAAAGATTACTGTGCTGTGTCATGAAGCAGAGATGTATGTGATGGGTCTAAGGTGAGAGTCAGCACTCTGCTAAAAGCCCACCTGCTGCCTTTTGAATTTCCTGACAGAGAACACTCTCCTACACAACATCCACTGCACCTGCCTCTAATTTAAAGTGACTCTGAGCAGACACTGGTCATTTGTTATTCTTTGCAGTGCATCAGTTATAATTCTTCTTAGCCTTTTTGAAGTTGATGAATGCATTAATGTTCTGTTGCAACACGGATAAAATCATTACAAAATAGACTTGCCTAATTACCATAAACAGTGTCATAAATAAATACATGTGTTCTATATTGATCCCATATTTTTGGGATAAATAAATACATCTGTTCTATATTGATCCCATATTTTTGGGAAATTGTTGTGTTAGCAGCGGATGTGCTGTTAATAGGCTACCCCCAGCAGGCGCCAAGCATGTGGTTCCTCTGGGAATCGAACCTAGGATTCTCTGCTCTCTGTTTCTGAGAAAGGCGCGCTAACCGCTACAAAATAAAACGACAAAATTCATGTTTCCGCCCGGTCTCGAACCGGGGACCTTTCGCGTGTTAGGCGAACGTGATAACCACTACACTACGGAAACTACAAAAATACTCGAAGTATAGAACTATAAGAATAAACATATCCACTACTGAGAAATAAAATAATTAATACTTTACGTTGCTTTTTTTTTTTTTCTTAATTAACACTTTACGTTGCTTTTTTTTTTTAACTGCTGAAGACTGGACGAGAAGCTGCAGAGATTATGGCTGAATAAATCTTTTTTTTGGGTTAGATATCTCCACCTAGTGGTTAAAAACATTCACTGCACGTTAAATTTAACCGAGATTTCTATATGAGAATTTAGCAACAAACACATTGATATTCATATAGTATTGAAATAGCTTGCATATATCTTCCTATATGCCTAATTATCCTAAGCAGTGCCTCCAAACTATAGAACAAATACAGTGTGATTCATATACTGCACGTAAAGTTAAATCCAGACCATCAATGCTATTGAGAATTTAATTAGAAATATAAAATACCAATATATTCTCCTTATGAACAGTGTCAGTTGCTAACCTCATAGTCCTGGTTAGAAATATTTCTTAGCAACTCTGCTAGAAAAATACTACAAATATTTAACACTAACCTCTGGACTTGGCAAAACAAACACGGATAACATATTCTCTATGGCTGAAAAGACTATGAAATGTCCTTGCAACGGTTAAAAATTAGCATTGTTAACACCACGGACATTTTCTGTGAAGATGAGAAGGCTCTTACTTGGACGGACACTGTGGAGTTCAGCAAAAGCTTCTATCTTTGTCCAGAGGACGACACTACAAAGATCTATGTGTCACGTAGAACATAAAAAGGTAATTTTCGAAAACAGTGCTGTTATAAATGTCGTACTTCCAGAAATGTTTTTGCTCATTGGTCTATGCTACTACTAATCCTGTACTACTGGTTTTCCTTAGCGATCGTAGCATTTTGTTTTTTAGTACAACACTTAATAGTAAAAGTAGAGCTAATGTTAGTTGGTAAAACATAGTTCAAGTAGCAGTAGACGAAGTAGTAAACGTAGTAGCAGTAGTTGAAGCAATTTTTGTATGACTTTGTCAGGTAAGATATTATTTTATTGACAATTGCCATTGCAATGATTTATTTTGAAAGTGTCTCACACGTCTTTTCCGGTTATTCCGCGCTCTGTCATTCCAACTACAGTCTCTGTAAGTTGTTGTACTTTCCTTGGCTGTGCTAAATGCACGGGATTTTATTCGACACACCAGCAAATCAACGTTAGGTCGTGTCAAATCGCGATAAAACTCGTTTGAACCTACGCGTCCGAAACAAACATACCATCGCAAGTATACAGTATGTAATGAAATGCACCACCTAGTGGAAGATTATTCAGTTGTTTCACCTGCTGCGGTGGAATAGACAAACAATAATAGTAAATGTTAATAATAATCGCGACCACTCAAATTATCTTTGTTGCAGATCATGGAAGAGGGGAAACCATGGGCTCTGATCTCGGAGGTGGGGAAGAATGGTTATCTCCAAGAACTGGCAGATATATTGAAAAAGCACTTTCAAATTGTCAGCCTCAAAGACTTTCAGCAGAATTCTCAGGTGTACAGCCACAAGATCCAGGTCTTATTCCTTTGGAACGCCTATCCTCAGGTGACACTGCCCCTGCTCAGCTCCCTGCCGTTGCTGAAGGTGGTTTCAAATGGCGGAGTGGGCATCGACCACTTAGATGTGCCCTACATCTCCAGTCTGGGGGTGAAAGTGACCAACACGCCTAATGTGGTGAACGAGGCCACTGCGGACATGGCCATGGCTCTGCTGCTAGCATCTGCACGGAGGGTTGTTGAAGGTGAGAACAAATGACGGTCTGTTCCTAAGTTCAGACTTTGGGTTTGTGACTCACAACAAAATCTTGGTCTTTCTCTTTAAAGCTCACCAGATAGCTATTCACCCCAAGACTACAGATACACCGCAATGGATGATGGGAGATGAAGTCACAGGTGCCACCTTGGGGATCATTGGTATGGGACGTATTGGGTACAAGATTGCCCAGAGAAGCAGAGGATTTGACATGAAGGTCTTATATCACAACAGGAAAAGGAGGTAAAGTTTGAGAATAAAGTTTTTTTCCCCCAAATTATGTCCCTTTACTTCTGGATGGGAGTAAGGGAAGGATTCTGCTTTTCTAGAAGCGTGGAAGATGAGAACGCTGTTGGAGCGAGTTACTGTCAGACCATGGATGATCTTCTGAAAGAGTCAGACTTTGTGGTCCTGGCGGTTGACCTCACACCTGAAACCACTAGGCTGATCAGCCACAAAGAGCTGAACCTCATGAAACCCACAGCAACACTGGTCAACATCAGCAGAGGTCAGGAAAAATATAATTGTTGCTACTTTTTAAAATTGATTTTATAATAACGTTTTATGACTTACCCTGTAATTTTGTTGTCTTTTAGGTCTGGTTGTAGATCAGGACGCCTTGGTCAAAGCTCTGCAGAGTGGGATAATTCGAGGAGCTGCGACAGATGTGACATATCCAGAACCTTTACCAAGGTATAATCTGTTGAAATAAGACGTTCATTTCTAAATGAAAGAACAATTAAAGTCACTATATAAAACTCCAAATGTTTTGAATCAGCTTCTCTCCTTTATTTCCTGCAGAGATCACCCCCTCCTCAACTTTCCTAATATGCTGATTACACCTCATATTGGTACCAACACCTACTCCACCAGCAGACGTATGGTACAGATGATGGTAGACAATGCCCTGGCTGTAATCAGGGGAGAGCCTCTACTCAATGAAGTCAAACCAAAGTGACTCTGTACTACTGTGTCTGAAAGTGCCTAAATGTTTCCTTGACTCTAATAAAGATTAAGGTTATTTTGTTAATATAGGGAATAAACTTGTCCTGTAAGGGGTCCTGTCCAATGATGGTTTATATTAGATATAATTGTTGTGAGGATACCTAATTTACTGATTATGTAATAGTCTATTTCTAATAATTTTACCTAGGAAATTTGAGTCGCACGTCTTCCTCATATACAATATAATCGTTGTGGCGCAGCGGAGTAACCGCTGACATCCCTGATTAAAATAAAAAACCTTTTAAACTTGGTGTGGACACAGTTTTACAACAGTTAATTATTTCATCTCTTATTGAGTTAATTATTCTGCTAATATCTTAGTTTTTCTTTGTATTTTCTTTTTAACACACCAAAAAACCTTATTATAGTCAGGCATATACATAGACTACCATCTTCAACTCTGAGCGATTACAAGACCCGAGCGGAAGGCATGAAAACACAAGAGTGTTAGAGAGAATTAAACCTAACCCTCTGGAATAACAATAACATATTTAAACAGTTTTATCTAAATTTAGTCGCCCGACAGCGCTTGACTTTATGAAAATGTTTATTGCTTCGGAAAACTCTCCTTCTTTCTTTAAAGAGTTCACCCTCGTCATGGTGAGTGACTGATACACCATTAACTGCTTTCAATTTCACTTAACTCAAGTAAACAGAAAAGTATAAGCCCGTATATTATTTTTCCTTGACTGGTTTATGTGGGTGATAAGCAGTATTAAATTTCGATTGTGGTCAAAATCAATCTGCTAATTAAAAAAACAACCATCAAACAAACATGCGAACTATGGGACTGGACTTAGGCCAATACTGGAGCACCTGTGCAACTTTCAAATATGTCCCCATATGGTTTTTGAAAAAGGATGTATAAAGAGAATTAAGTAGGAGGTCTTTGTTTCAAAGCCACTGTTTTACTTTTCAGCCAGCTGTGGCTGTGGGTAATGTGGCACAGCTGGCCGTGGACCTCATCGTGTCAACTCTTAACATGAAAAGAGTGGGCTACATCCACACAGACTGTCTCGTCCCCATGGCTGGGAACAACCCGTACACCACCTGCAAAGAAGATGCTGAGGAGCTGCACACCCCTGCAGAAGGTAGCACAATGTGGTGTTTCCTATAAACGAACACACAGGACCTTTGAGTGTTTTGTGGAATCAATCATTTCTGCAAGTACTGTAGAAATTGTAGAAATTACTATGTAATTACTGTATTTTTTCTTCCACAGTGTATTCAGCACCAGAGCTGAAGTTGGCCATCCTTCAAATCAGAGCTCCAGTTATTCCGGTAAAATGAACAACTGCTGCTGTTTTGTGTTTCCACCAGTGGAGATATGAATATAAAATTTAGAGCTTTACCTTTGACTTTCAGACAAAATCCAAAAAGTTTCGTCAACTGATTGTGTCTTGGATCAAGTCCAGTGGATTCTCCAGAACTGTGCTTCTGTCCAGCAGCCACGCATACCAGAGAGACGACCAACAGCTGCAAGGGTAACAGTGTTATGCTGATTGTCACTGCAGTTTCCTTGTTCTTAAGGTTCAGGCTTAATATACAGTATGTGTGTGTCCTTACAGAACCCCTCTGAGGTACCTGGTCACTCCATCCCTGCTGAAGGTAAGCGAAGACGTCCTGAAGGAATTGGGCTGGAGGGAAATGGAGCGAGTGCCGGTGTTCCCCGGAGTAACGGACACCAACGCTGAGCCTCATCTCTGCATTCCTGGAGGAGGAATCACCAAAGGACTGTTCACAGACAGGTAGAGATGAGCTCATACTTTGGGAAAGAACATACTTCAAAATCAAAATATTAAACTTGTACTGTTGTGTTTAGTTGCTCAGAGGATCTTCCACTGGCTGTGCTCCTTCTCTTCTGTTCGGAAGGAGACAACATCCCTGACGCTTTCACCCTCGTCAACCATCTGAATGACTGGCTCCACCTGCTGGACAATCCTGTAAGTAACTATACACGACACTACTGCACTGCTGCCTAGAAACAAACAGCAACTAGGAATTTACAACACGGGTAAAATGTCCAATAATCAGTCGATCTTACTCTTTTTTTTTCAGAGCCAAGAAGCAAACAAGTGGAAGATTCCAAACTCCTGGAGACTCCTGTTTGGCAGTAGTGTCCCTTCTGCACTTTTTTAATTTCTCACATCTTTTTTGTGTCATTTAAAACCTACAACTTTTTGGTCAAAACTGCAAATTTGTAATTTAAGGCTAAACGCTCAAATCTGCTTAGTCCTGTGGTTTGTGCAAAATAAAATTATTAACTAAATACGACTTGGACCAAGATCTGGCTGAGCCCATATTCCAAAACAAATACTTTAAAAATATCAGTATCAGTTAATTACATTCTTTTGGTTTTATAAATAATTGTCAGAGACCTTCATTGTTTCCGTAGACTGACTGAATTCCACTGCAGCTGTCGTGATTCGTTTCTCCATGCCGAGCACATGTTTGATTTATACACAATGTTGAAAAGTTACTTTACTTCTGGCCAAACCTCTAACAAATACAACTAAAATTACCAGTGAGGTCAATGTGAATTACCAATCTCTAGAATGTGTTTATATTGACAAGAAGTGTACCAACATTTCTGAAAATGTAAAACTGTAAATCACACAAATCTTAAAAAAAAAAAATTACATTTATATTCTGTACACGCACTTGTGGAACCATGCTGCTGAATTTTGCAGGTTTTTAGTTTTTTTCAAATAAAAAAAAAAACCCAAACAGCAGGTCTGGACATATGTGAAAACACTGACTTTGTTTGTGTTTCTCTCCGTCGATCTCCACCTACTTGACTGTAAGTGACTGGACAAATGCCAGCGTTCATTCCCGGCAGCTCCACCTCCAGCATAATTTGATTTGTGCCTGCAACACGTTCTAACATTTGACATAGAGGTTAGACAAGTAGAAGAAGAAGAAGAAGAAGACAGCTGCTGCAGTCAGACTTTGACCTGGTGGAGCTGGCCAGCTCTAGGGTTTCCTGTTTCTTTTGTGTGCCGGTGTGAGAGTGAGTGTTTGTTTTGCCTGGTTATGGTAAAGGAAATGTTCGGACAGCACTAGAGGGAAGCCGCAAAAAGAAACGACTACACCGTGGGACTGAAAATATGGAGACATATTTATACTGTCCCAATCAACGTATTAATGCTTAACATTTAATGCACAAGATATTTACACAAACCTGACTTCTCTACTTTTATCAATTACCTTAAATATTTATGGTTGAGTTTAATTTGATTTATAAAAAAAATCTAATCATGTGACAATTTGACAGCAAGTTATCTTTTTCAAAGCAGTAAAAAAAGTGATTTTGTTATTTCATAGTACAGTATTTGAATTTTGCCTATACTTAAATTACTACTAAAAAATAGCTGTCTTTTTGTTATCTTTGGGAAAACTTTTCTGATTCACATTAGGCTTTTATCTATTTTCACAATGTCTACTAAATGTCCTTACAAGATGCTGGAAATTGGACCTTAAAAAAAAAAGATTCTATGGTCGAAATCCCCCTGGTACGTTAAAAATGATGAAAAAGTATAAATGGCACCACTTGGATGTTCCCATAAACCCAAAATGAATTCAAGTTTCAGGTTTTACCAAGAAGTGACAGGGAAAACAGGTTGTAACGCAAACTAGATGATACCCATTTATAGATAACTTAGATAGAGAGAGAGAGATAAAGAGGAACTTTAGTCATTAAAAAAAGAACAGGTTATCAAATGGAAAATCTACTCAGTTCTGTAACAGTGTGCCTTGCCTTTTTTTTTTTTTTTTTACAAGCAACAAAATATTTTTTACACATAAAAAAAATATACATTATGAAAACATCACACTCCTCTGTTTTTGTCAAGTGGGAGGCGGCAGAGCTCGTCTCTAAACTGACAACACCGTGAAAAACTTCAAGTAATCTCTCTTATAAAAAAATAGATTTTTTTTCCTTCAAATTTTTATCTCTGAAAAAGTTTTTTTTTTTTTTTATCTAAAAATACACATATAAACACCAGTACAAATTGGCAATGCACAGCCGCCTCTCCACCTGTCCTGGTGGGTTGGACTCTGAGGGTCTCGTCCACACGAAGGCAGGAGCTTTTGAAAACAGAGGTGTTGGTGTGGATTTCTGAAACCTTATCCACACACAGACTGTAACAAAGGCCACAAAAACAAAACTTTTTTTGGTTCTTCTTCCTTTCAGAACTTAGCTCTCTTGACAAACCATCAAGTTCTTTTTCTTTTTTTTAAATGTATCCTGTTCTTTAAACATTGGTCATGAAGGTTCTAATCGTGCATTGATTGTTCTGGTTAGCCTCAGTATGTGATGTTGGCTAATGTGTTTACAAGAACAAATAAATGGAGTTTCATGCATTTTCCATGGGACTGTAACATTTTACTCTAATGACGACATTGGAATAATTTTACTACTGATCCTAACTGTAACTGTACGTTTTTGAATAAAAACATTTAAAGTATTTGGTCGGCGTTAGTGTACCTCAGCACGACTTAAACACTTAAACACAACCCCATGATCCAAAGGGGGGTACCCCAAGCACAGAATAACTTGCCGTTTCACAGGATTAAGAAGACTGCAATGCTATGTTGTTGTTTTTTCCATCACCTGTTATGCACTGTAAAAATGCCTGTGGAAGCTGACTAGAACTTTGCATCTGTGACACACAGCATTCGCAGGTTTGGGATTTAAGACAAGAGAAGAATTTTGAGAACCAAAAACTGGACCAAGAAAACCTCTGTTTTCAAAAGTACCTGTCTAATGTGGACTTCAGTTCATAAAAATATGTATAATGTTTGTGCGCTGCTTTAATAATGCTGTTGAGCTGATGGAAACAGAATTTAAGACAAAGAGTTGGAAAAATAAAGAGGGGTGGAGGTGAGGAAAAGTGGTTTGGATTTGGACAGTGGAGGTTCCCTGCCGATGTTGGCTTTTCTGCCAGAGCTGTAGTCGTGTGGCCACAGGTGGAGGAAGTTAGCTGTCGCTGGTTTTCACCCTGTCACAAGACACAGAATGAAAAAAACAAAGCTTAACCAGTTTTAATGAAGATCAAACTTCACTGGAACCATCATGGTTGCAAGTTCACTCAGGTGTATTAAAAAACAAGCAAGCAGGCATTGGGACATTTAACCATCACTCAACAAACCCAAATCTGGCAAATATTAATGCAGCAAAGAGCAAAAAAAAAATCATTCTTGTGAGAAGTAATCTGTGGGAAAAAGTTAACATAAGGAGAGTGTGTGTGTTGGGTGGGGTCAACTAGTCAAAAAACAGAAAAAAAACCAAGAGTGATTCAAAACCGAATGATTCAAGGAAGTTATTTTTTTCTTTTTCAGGTTTCAGTCCAGTTATTTGAATGACTAAAGTCTAACGAGCCCTGGATTATTCCTGTCTTTTGTTGCAACAGAGACTTAGTCCAACTAGAGCTGAAATCACTCTCTCATACTGAATAACAAAATTATTGGATTACAATTTTACGCTTTTGTGTTACTGCTACGCACACATGCTAACATGGTGTGCGTACATTCCTCTTTCACTGTTCTAAAACAGTGCAGCCATAATTCCAGCTCCAGATTCATGTGGCGATTGTTGAAGCCTCAGGTTCTCGTGACTGATCTCAGGGATACGGAGGAAGAAAATGATGCCGTATTAGAAATTCAACCTAACATATGACAAAAATTACAAACTCAACTTTAAGGTTTTGATACGATGAGGAAAAACTCTAATGATTCCACCCCAAAACAAAATGTCACCAGAAAAGCTAAACACTCAAATCTCATTACAAATGTAAACACAGCCATGCCAACGCTCTGAGGAAACAAACAGACGTCACCACAAAACACTGAAGGTTAGAAATACCAGAAAAACACACAGGGACATGCAACAAAACTTCACAATCTTTTAGTTTAGGTAACAGCTGGGTCAAAGGGTCGTCAATGCTCCTTCAGTCACGAACCAATGAACTTGAAAACTCTAAGTACGTCTGTGTAAACAGTGCTAATCTGGAATACAAACCATCAACATCTTCACTTCAAGTGTCAGAAGAAACTCAGTGAAAACCCGCCTTCCTGTCTATGCCTGTGACAATAACAAATTTTGCTCAACGATATATTGTCCTACAAAGAGGGTCAGATTGACCAGAGGGTTCACTGGGTTCATGGAACAAACGCGTCCAGGGGCAGAGACCGATGCACAGAGTGAACCTTCTTGTCATCCAGCCTGTTTGGACGGCAAAATGATCGACCTAATTTTCATTTATTATGCCATCAATGGACACAGACTGATGTCGAGTCTAACACAGTGAAGTAAGTCACCGTCTGTGTGTCAGAACCTCAGGTTTGTTTTTACAACCACAATCCAGAATCCAACACCAACAATGACACAAAGTAGATTTAAAAAACTGGTGTAATTCCAGGTCAATCTGACATTTTCAGAACTTCGACCATCACAGCAACACACACACACACACCACACAATACAAACACAACATGCTAGAGTGCAGCAAAAAAAACAAAACAAAAAAAAACACCGCAAGAGTGAAGCCGATCACAGAGAGAACTGAAACCCCCAGAGTAACAGAAAACACACACACACACACACACCTCAACGATATTTTTTTTTAAAGCTGTGGGTAAACTTCCTCCATTAAATGTGCTCTTCACGGTGGTGGTGGTGGTGGGTGTTCCTGTCTCAGGAGGGGGTAAAGATAAAGTGCCCCCCACTGGACAGGTCAGCTGTTGTCATGTGCAGCAAATGCAGCCCAAACTGTCCGAGAAGAACCACAACAACAACAATAACAATGACGACAACAACAACAGTAGCAGCAGCTGGTAATGAACACGTCACATTTGTCAGTGTTACTGGAACAGCACCGACATGTCACACAACAAACACGAGGCTTCTCAGAAATGACTGAGTGGGTCTTTATTTTTGGGAGGAGCAGAGTCATCAGAAATGATGCTTCCTCAGGTCTACACAGGCCGCATTTATGAGAACATGGAGTGAATGTTCAGGAAGGGGAAAAAAAAGAATAAAACTATGGTTTAATTTTTTTTTAAATTTGCATTTGCTTTTGTCAATGGAAAAAAAAGGTCCATAGAACTTCAAATCAACAAAAACAAATATTTGTTTGGCTGACAAATAGCCCAAGGTTCCAGGTTTTAGGATTGAATCAGACGCATTTACAACGGTCTACCTGTTACTGTTGTTGAAGCCTAAAAAATTAAGACAATTTTTAAACCTCGGTTTATCAGTAAACAGAGTCTGACGTTATCGTAGCCCATAACATTAGCACCTCGTGCTTAACTCATCGTCTATCTCTGCTGAAGTCGGCTTCATTTTGGTAATGGTGCCGTCAGCGATTCCCAGCATTTTCCTTTTCTGTGCAAACAAAATGAATAAACGGTGACAGGATCACATTTTTGAAAGACTTACGGATTTATGATGTGATGCAATGTCATGTTTATAACGTGACGTGGCTTAACAGCGGCGTCAGGCCATTTTCTAACACAAGACCGACTTTGACAAAAAAAAGTTTTGTTCATTTTTAGCTTAAATGACTCTAAATTTACCTGCACATAATCCCTGTCATTTTTTATTTTAAAAATATCATTAATGTTTCTTGCTGTACACCACGTCAACTCAAGGTCTGTGGGCCAAATCCCACCCACTTCATCACTTTAAGTGGCCCATACTCTCATAAACGGGTGAAATAGACCGACAGAAGAAGCCGAGGTGAGGGAACAGGAGTGAGGTTTTGCCATCAGTGGTCACCACCGTCTGATTTTCCTCTTTACTTATTATTTATAATACATTTTATTCTTAAACTGACAATGTGACTTTCCTGGCCACGACTCATTACTGCAATCTGTCAAGTTACTACAAAGAGTTCCTAAGCGTTTGTGTCAGTCTTTGCCTCTGCCACAACAGAAGGTGCGTTACAGGAAATAATCTTGACTGTGTTTGTGTCTTACGAATTAAAAAAATATTTTTATCTCTTTGACCTTTTTCAGGGTTCCTACTCAAAACCTCAGGGGATTAAAGCTGACATTTGCTCTGAATCAATTACTTTTTCCTTCTTCCTCCTTTGTACAATGATGGGTTCGTGTTGGCAGCTGTCCGGTTAAACCACAACGGGCAGTGGATACAAAAGAGGTTGTGTAATGACAAAAATGACAAATCATCCTGGAATGCATCAATAACCCAGTGTAACGTGATGCTCAGTGTAAGATAAACCATCAGTGGATTGTTTGTTTTCAGTCGGAAGTTATAATCACCTTTTTCTCTTCTTGTCTGAGTCACTCGTCCTGGGCTTGCTTTGGGATGTTTTTCCTGTTCCTGATTTGGAGATGCTGTCTTCTCTGCGTCTCTTGCTGTGAGAAACACAAGGAAATCATATGCGGTGACGGGAATGTAAAAAAAAAAACAAAAAAACAGTAACATGTAAACCGTGCAGGCGTGTACTGACTGTGTTGTGCTGCCCTCCACTTCCTGTTCCTTGTTGAGAGACGGTGCTGGTACTTTGCCGTCCTGCCTGTAGTCTGACCCTCCCTCCAGCTGATTCGCTCGTTGGCTGCCGTTGCACCATTCAGTCGGACATCGAGTCTGCGGCTGAGTCGCAGGTCGAGACTCGGACAAGGGCTCCTGGTCCTCCATGGACAACTCCCGCCACCGGGTCTGAACAGTGTCATAGGCATGTCAATATACTGAGTTGTTTTTAAACAATTTAGTTGTAGGAAAACTGTCAACATAGCAAACACACAATGCTGCTACAAGAAATAAGAGCAAAGTAAAATTAACACAACAAACGTTTGACTGTTAATTGTTAATAAAACTTGATGATAAATATCCAAATACAAACTTTGACATCAGTAGTTTCTGTTTTAATTTGTAGGTAAGGTAATCAAACCAAACCAAACAAAGGCGACGGTGAGGGCAAGTTGTTGTTGCCAAGTTAAAGAGAAAAAAAAAAAATCCTCCTAACTGGACAAATACAAAAACAGGAAAAACAACAGGTCTCGTATACTGTTCAAGGACCTGCACAGAGGGGTCTCCCATGATGTACTTGGCTCCTTCTAGAACTGCCAGGTAAGAGAATCGTAGCTGGTCAGGAGTTTGGATCAGACCCATGCGGTACTTCCTCATGTTCAACAGGATGTTCTTGATGTCCACAGAGGACGGGTCTTTCCTCTTATCCATCTGCAAAAACAGAGCACAGTTCTTTATGGTGAATGTTCTGTTAAAAATACTCAACCAGTTTCCCCTATTGTCTGAGTGACCTACCAGGACGAGACAAGTGTCGACTAACGAAAACGTCCCGGAGCGTCCAATCCCAGCGCTGCAGTGCACGACAGCTGGCCCGTGGTCAACACTCAGCGCCTTCGACTCCCTCACCTTATAGAGGAAGTTTAGGAAGGATGCAGGGGATTCTGGGACACCAAAGTCAGGCCAAGTGGTGTAATGAAAGTGGTAGATCTCTCTTTTCTCGCCCGTCTGTGGAAGCAGGCAAACATATTAACAAGTGAAACAAAAACAACATATCAAATATTAGTTCACGTAAGCCATATATGCACATGCTTATATATTCTACAGCACTTTATGGAGTTAACATTGGTTGGTAGTTAAGCCTGTAGCAGCATTGTGTGTTTACTATGCTGACAGTTTTCCTAAAATTAAATTGTTAAAAACATATATATTGTTGTGCCTTTAGTATTGCAGTATATTGCAATATATGGTAATGTTGCCCCTGTATGGTGATACTTATTGAATGTATGGTTTACACAGCCCTATTCCATGGAAATACAAAAACAAAGGGGAATTGAACCAGACAGAAACCTAAGATGTGTCTGAATGTGACAAAAACAATAAACCAAACATTTAGTTCTGCTTTGCCATCATTCAATGGAAATCCCCTTCCAGTATCCCTAACAATCCTGAGGCCTACATTCATATTCTGAAGCTCCAACACTCTGGTTGTGTAGTACGACTTGGTGTCTTCTGACAACAGTGTGACCAAGAAGCGTGTGTCCCTGAAGGCCATCTCCCTCTCCTCAGACATGGGCCAGTACTGGGCACATTTTTCCTGTGATGAAGGAAAAGATGGTGGAGAAGAAGAAGAAAAGACAATAAAACAACTTGGAGAAACCAAGATATGAGACCAGAGAAATTCAGCTGATGGAAAGCTGACGCTGGCGGAGACCTGGCAGGTTAGTTTGTGTGAACTCAACAGCTGACCAATGACAGGAGGAGAGGTTTATCCTGTGTGCTGAAAAGAAACTAGGCTTATTTGAAAATGACTTTTAGCATTTTTGACAAATTGTTTGTCAAATTTCTGACTTTTTTTTGTTTTAAATAATATCACACGTTGACTGGGGTGTCCTTTACTTCACAATGGCAACAGACAAATACGAGTACTAGTATCATCAGTAACAGTAGCAGGCATAAAAGTTCTGGTGGCAGTAGTAGATATTTCATTTGTTTTATTATGTAACAGCATTAAAAGTAGTGGAATTGTATTGGTAGTAGCAGTAGAAATAATACTAGTACTAGATGCAGTAGTTAAACTTAAATAATCAAAAATCTCCTATTATGAGCAGTTTCTATGTAAGAAGAAGTGAATATTCAAATACTATGGTCAACAATTCCATTTCTGGTTATTACGTTGGTTTCTTCTACAAACCGTCACCTCACTGTAGTGAAGTAGTGACTCAGTGGACCGACTAAGGCTGCAGGAAAACCACATAAAAGACCCCGTCTTGTGGGATTGATAACATCTGCTGAGAAGGTGTGTTTCATCTTCTTCTTCATTTCTAAGAAAACAGACACTGAACGTCATTAACCTCCAACAGCCGTTGTTACTGTCGTTACTGAGAAACAGAGTTTTCAGTAATTCCTGCTACGCAGCACAGGGATTCATCGTCTCAGTCCCAACTTGACAATCCCAGTCTCTCTTCCACGGACGGACAAACATATGTTAACAAAAGACCGTGTCATTGGTCAAACTGACTGAAACAACAGCACAGTTGTTCTCTGCAAACAGCACGGAGGTGTGCATGTTTGCATATGCAACCAAGCGGCAGAAATTAGATCCGATCCCCTGTAGTCACTGGAGACACAGGTCTGAGACGCCATCTCACCACAAGTACAGGTGGACGAAGAAGTATCCACTAATGATCATATTACCCGAGATGGATTTTGACACCACATCTGAATAGGTCTGAGGTTCTTGTGTGTTTATGACTTCGACACAAAACATTCACCAATAACGTTCACAGACTTGTGTGTGATACGTCCGTCTCCTCAAATATCTACGGTTTGTTTGTGAGTGTTCACGCAGCTGATAAAAGCCAGATGTCAAACTAAGCAATGTTTGACAGATGCTATGGAACATTTGTATTGTTTTGTAATGTGTACTTACTGAACCCTTCTCTATGACCCTGTTGAGCATGATGATTGCCTTGGTCCTCTGCTCCCAGATCATGAGCCAGAAGTGGCCACAGGTGTTTCTGAGGGGCCCCTGTGGAGAGGTGGAACAAATGTGATCACATCACCCCTTTTCTATAGAAAAACAAATAAAATTCACACACAACGTTTAGATGAGGTTTATGAGCCAGTAGCCGCCTCCCTCTCTTTCTCCGACCCATTCCCACATGACGAGTAAAAATGTAAACTCAATTTTCTGTTTTTGCTTTGAAACTGCCTGACGCTGCTGTTAAGCCACGTCATTATATAAACATTACATTGCATCACATCATGATTGTACATAATATTTTAAAAACATGATCCTGTGACTAGTTATTTAATTTTGTTTGCCACAGACCATTCATGTACAAGGAAAAATACAGAGCATCACTGACTGCACCATCACCAAAATGAAGGCTTTAGCTGAGATGGCCGACAATTTTAACAATTAGTCTCCCTGCCATGCACAACTGAGGAAAAAATGCTCACTGCCTCACTGACATTTTTTTTGTTATAATAATTAATAGCACATTTTAATCCACCCCTCACAGAATTGAACAAAAAAATGATATCTTTATCCTGTTATGCTGATTGCTGTCACCTTGTTGTTGATCTTACTAAAGTGATCTACACAAAAGTACACAGAAATACTGTACATTCAACTGCTGAAAAAAGTTATCAGCTGACTTTTCTTTTGAAAACAACAGTTGAGGAAATTCAGCGTAAGT